TAGTAGTAGTAGTAGTAGTAGCAACTCAGTAGCAGTAACTTAGCAGTAGTGACTTAGTAGTAGTAACTTAGCAGTAGTAACTTAGTAGTAGCAACTTAGTAGTAGCAACTCAGTAGTAGTAGTAGTAGTAGTAGTTGTAGTAGTAGTAGTAGTAGTAGCAGTCTGATAAGAGCTTCACATGAGCAGTAAGAGGAAGACCGGGGAACGGCTTTGAATTAAGCCTCGGGTACTTGCATTCGATTGACAAGGTTGTTAGCAGAGTAGTACGAGCCTTCATTGGGTAGTTCTCTAAAGTATATAGGGTCCCTTTCTAGGTCCCACAAATAAAAAGGACCCTAAAAAGGACCCCAAGTTCGAGACCTACCCTCATAATCCCGGAAAAACATCTCTAAACCGTCAGACTTAAACCCCTCGCCTCACATCTTCGTTCCTGAACTCCCTAAATCCTCCAGCCCAAGACGATGTTTTCGAGCTCTCAACCCCCCCTGAGGCCTGAACCCTGGATGCCTGAAACGCTGAACCCCTAAACCCTAAACCGCTGGACCTATAAATTATAAACCCTATCAGCCTTGAAGCCTAACGTCTGAGTCCTTGAACACTGATTCCCGAAAGGTCGAAAATTGGCGGTTCTGGGTGTGGGCTACATTGGCCGTGAGGTGATCAGGCTGCGGGCAGAACTTTTCGATTCTTGCGGGTTCACACAGGGCCTGTTTTAAGCATAGAGTGGGGTTCATTCGCAGTTGTTTCGTTTCCATATTTAGTGATAGTGGCGTGTATTTGTATGTTTACCTATGTGAATGCGTATGTGTACATATCTGTACGTGTACATGCACATCTAAGCTAGCAATGCGTGGACACATGGATATTGATTTCCATATGTCCCTTACTTAGATGACTGAGAACCGTCTTCATCCCGGCTCCGTTTCTACTATACCGTTACAAGTCAGCAAGGGTATCAAGAAGGAAGGCGCCGTTCTTCGGAAGCTTCGCCGACATGTTGACGTGCCCAGGGTATGAGCCTGTAGATCCTATGCGGTGATGGAAGAAGCATGCAGTTCCGCATACTTCCGCAAACAGATGATTAGACCGATGGGCATATGCAGCCGCATAAGTTGCAGCTGTCTATTGACCGCAACTAGCAGTTATAGATCATACTTTTCTCAACATCACACGTGGGCATTCCGAGTACATCAGTGGTTTGGTGAGCCAAGGCCATGCAATCGTGATAATTGCGCTTACGGCGACTTACGGGAGTGATAATGAGTTTGGATATAGCGGCAAGGGCCACTTGAAAAAGTGGTTGTGATGCTAAATCGTATATAACTGTAACTTGACTCTGCACAGAAGATACTGCGACAGTCTGGCGACAGTGATGGTGCGTGATGTTTTTTGCCCATTCTTCTAAGAGACTCCAATATCCCTT